CAGAAAAGCTGAAGTTATATAGACTGTCTGTAATAAGAATGGGATCGAGCATCTTTCTCTTTTGTCATTTTTGCTTCTCCTGTAGGTTTTCTTGCATGTTGAGGTATTCTGGGGCATACTGTTGAGGATTCATGAGGAGAACCACACTGCCTTTGGGCTGTAGGAACTCTTTAAAATCTGCCTCCGGATGGCAAAGTGGGACACAAAGCATAGGAAGGAGCATGTCAGATGAATGGAAAGTGCTTCTGGTGTAGGAAGGGGATATATTTTTTTAGGCATTTTTCTTCCCAGCTTGGTGGGGCTGTAACAGAGAGAAATAATCTGCAGAAATTACTTTGCCTTTCAAAACAAAAAGGTGCAAGAGAGATCGCTTAGGAATGATGAGTTACAAAAGAGAAGTAGAAACTCTGGAGCAGGGATCGAAGGGCGATGGTTTTCTTTCCTAGTTACCTGCAGGAAGTAAATGAACACAACTCATCTCAGAGACAGTAAAGCTACAACATGCTGTAACAAATTTAGGACCCCTAGGCGAGCTTTTCTCTTACACCCATAGCCCTGTTAACCACAGGCCTCTGTTTAGGAACCTATATGACTCATGAGACTGCAAATGACTATAAAAACTCTCTCTGCTCGGTTGCCTTGGGCATGCAGTTCAAGTTGGTAATGAGAGAAAGCTGCACGTGTTGTTTGCTCGCTGATACAAGAAGTGAGCAGGTTGACTCAGTGAAACATCTTTTTGGTAGGGGACCACCTCCTGAAAACTGCCATCGTAGCTGTTTCTGTGGGTTGTACTACCAGATGGTCTTTAAAGATGTGTGTGAACTATTCACAAGCTAAAGCTAATTACTCAAAGAGAAATAAATCAAAAACTAGACAAATGGAAAATAACCTTTTAAGCACTAGATATAAAAAAATGCTCAGAAGGAGAGATACAAATTTATTTTAAAATTTGCAATGACTATAGTCCATTAGTCTTTTCAGACAACATTATCTGAAAAATTTTCAGTCCAATGCACATTTTTGTGCAAAGTTAAACATCTCTGAAAAACTGGAGATTGCGATGCAAGCATTAACAGTTCCTTTGTAGAAATCTTGAATGGAGAGAAGAGGTTTTGCAGGATGATTGGTGCTTTCCTGATCTGATAAAATGAGTTAGACCTATGCTTTTAATTATTTTTACTGAAGTGCTTCCCAAAAACATCCGTATGATATCAATGGTAACAATGACAAATGGCCAGCTAGAACAATGGAGTCTTTCATTTCGGACTGATCACTTAAAAAAAGAAAAATGAAATTTGAAACATAAGCACGAAAAATAAGTCATATTACTAACACCTCTAGTATGGACTTTTGATCCTTACGCTTTACATTGCTTTATCCCCTTCCAAAGGTCTTTTAAAAGTTGCTGCTTCTTCATATTCTTACTCACGGGTTAAATGATTTCCAGCATACCCAGATTAAAGGTACAGTGCTCTGCTGAAAACTAGCTGTAAGAGCTCCATGCCTATAGCTCAGTATACCCAAAACAACATGGATCTTGGCTGGTCCTGCAAATTCATCCTGTGATCCAAGTATCACACTGGTTATGTTCTGAACCGTGAAGTGCAACCTAGAATAAAAAAGGTTTCCTTCAGTTATATCCATGCCACCAGGCTAGCATCAGATTCTGTTCTCAGTCCTCCACAGAGGAGTCAATATGAGAACAGAACTTGCCCCTACTAGCAGAAGTTGTTTATATAGGTTTGTTAGTGAGGTAATAAAAGGGAAAATATTCAAGCATTATAAATAATCTAGCATAAAAGACAGCTGGAATCTCTTATCAAGACTGATACCAAGGCCATTCATTTTTAAACTGTTTTACTCTCCAGCTCATCATGAAAATCTCGTCAGCTTCAGTAAGAAAGAACTTTACTTTGACTAAGTACTCTGAGATTGGCTGCAAAAGCATTCTTGAGTTTCATTGTAATCATATTCCTGTTTGTTAGGGGACTACAACCTCAAATAAAGCCGTGGTGCTATTTATAGTGTCATCTCACTTAACTCCGGCAGTTGAATAGCTTGAATCTTCAGATATGACCTAAGGAGGATACAGATTTGTTAGTGCAATTACTGTCTTAGGACACAATTATTTGTTGCTGTGAAATACTGATGGCTAAGCAGAGGGTATGATTGCACGGAAATAATTATATGAGCATAGTATATGATGTGCTCCATAAAAATACATAATCTTCTACTGAGAAAGAGCTTTAGATGGATTAAGTGAAGAACACAGTGGTTCCAGATGTTGTTATCCCTGCATACACCTGAAAAGTAAAGAGCCAAACTATCTATTTCAACGGTCTCAGATCCAGAGTTCACCAGGTCTGAAGACCAAGGGATCAGAAAACTATAAGCAGTAAAGGCTTCATGAAGAAGAGGAGAGAGTAGGTCAAGAAGGGCCTTCTCCTGGCCCTAAGGTACAAATACTAGATGGATAAAGGAACAAAAAAGACCAACCAAACCTCAGAAATCTCAGGAAATGGCTTTTTAAGGACCTTCTTATGGAAAGTAGGTAGAGTGATTTATTACCATTTTTCCCTGAATTAGCTTGGTCTCAATAAGAAGTGTTTTGTTTTATAACAAAAGTTTGGCCCTGAGGTAAACTAGCATGGCACAGTGTGTCCATACAGTTACACTGTCCTACCACATAAAGCAAGATGGTCGCATCCACCCTCCTATTAGGAGTAGTTCTTCATGCACACCAGCCCTTGAGCCATTCCTAGGAGTTCTTTGAGAGAGTGATAGTTGGCTTTGGGCACAGATAGGCCAGGGATTGCGCTCATGATTGAACAGTATACACCATCGTCGGCACATATGTGGGCCAACAAGGTCTACTGGCACAGGTGCAGCCACAGAGAGCAGAGGTCAGAGGGGTGGGCAACGCAGTCACTGTAA